TTCATTTCGTTATTTGTTGTTAAGCACAAAGCCATCTGTACTGTGTCCACTTCGGGAAATCAAACCCTGAATTTAAGCATTATGAAAAAAAACAATACTATGTAAAAACTGGAAGACTTCTGGTGGGTTTTCACAAGGCGTGTAAAGTTTGGGATGATAACCGCTTTTGGCGACTGAAGTTTGTTTTGTGCACCTCTATATTCCCCGGTGGGTCAGCGGTAAACTTAGGACTTACCATGCTAAAATCCGGGATTCGATTCCCCGGGGTGGACAAAACACTTACAGCCCAACGTGTAGCTTTACGATAAGACAAAAACTGCCACGCAAAACTTATATTTCGAAAACTTAAGGTTTAGTTGTATTTTAATTCGAAAATTTAAATAAAACTTTTTACTGTAGTTTTTGCTCTCAAAGTCCATTTTGTGAAAAACATGTTTAAACTCAGAACGCGACTTTTGAAAAGGATTTTTTTTTGTTTTAAGGGTTATTATAAAATAGTAAGATTGAAACGAACTTTCCAATTTCTTTGTTTCAAAAATTTATGCATGTTAGGATCTTCGCACTTTAAATATATGTTTTTAAAGTGGCAAGTCTGTTTTATGAAATTATTCATCAAAGTTAATTACTTTCAAGGAAGTTTCAATTTTTAAACTAGGTGAGGTCAGAACCATCAAAGTGTGTTCTTTAAATACTTTAGAACCAATATAGGATTTTAACCTGTTATGAAAAAATATATTTAATTTTACACTTACTAAAGGACCCGAGATAACTATTGAAGAATAACATAATTTCAATTTGGCAGCACATCGTTAATAGAATATATTGTGCAAATTCATCCAAATTAATAAATTCTATTAAACTTAAACACAACTAAAAACAGAAAAAATAATAAATTTCTGCTTACTTATTCTCCTGTTTATCACACTAAACAAAATTTCAATTCCAATAGTATCTTAATAACAAATAAATGGATCTCGAAATATTAAAAGTGCATACGGATAGCCACACAGAATGTAGAAATAAAATATTTATTAAATAAACCTCATAAACAAGTATTAAAATAAACATCAATAAATTAAAATACGACATTGATAAAACCACAAACAAATCATTAGTAAGCGCAGAAACCATGACGCAATTTTATTACGTTTTCAAAACAGGAAGTGTTATATTCAAAGGAAGAAAGTTGACCAATCAAATGATAAGGATATTAGGCAAGGTCAGAGATTGAAGAATAAGAAACAATACTGTGCCAAAAATATAGTAGAATGCCCAAGAAAACAAATGAGTGGAAACGACATAAAAAACAGAATATTACTGAAAAAAAAACAGCACAGATTTATGGTAATAACACAAAAGAAAGAACTATATTGTTTCTCTGGAACTTCAAGCAGAATAGACGTACGCTATAGTAGGTTTAATGTGCCATTGCTACTTGTTGAATGAAAAGGGACGACGTTTTAGCTTTTAATCTAAGGCCTTTTTCGGTATGGAAACCGAAACTTCGTCCCTTTTCATTCAACAGACAGCATCAGTCAATTAAATTCTCAAACCTACCAAAGCAGTATGTATTTACACTTTATGAATGTTTACATATTACCTTACAGTAAAAGTACAGTGTTACATTTTGAGTTTCTAAATGAAAAACAAAAACTAAATATCCATAAATATTTCGAGCCAGGTTAGAGCAGTTTCACATCGAGAACGGCATTCTCTATTTTCCGGGATTATTACATTAGTATGTATTATAAGCCTATCTGGAAGTATTAGTAAGGCGTTGCGAGTGGGTGGATAGACATGGAAAATTATTTCTTGTGTTGTATTTCAGAAGTGTTTTGGTGCATACTGAAGGGATTTAGACATTTCGACAATAAAGTTAGAAAACAACAACAACAACAACATTTACTCTCCAGGTAATAATAATAAAAACAACAACAACACCATTTACTCTCCAGGTAATAATAATAAAAACAACAACAACAACATTTACTCTCCAGGTAATAATAATAAAAACAACAACAACAACATTTACTCTCCAGGTAATAATAATAAAACATTTTCAGCGTTTCGCCAGGACTAGTAGTAGAGGTGTCGAAGTTAGAGAGTACCTGTTGCACAAACCTGAACGAAAAACGAACAGTTCTAAACTCTCAAAGCTATAAAAGTTTATAGATTTATTGAGAACTTGAGATAAAGCATAGGCATTTTTCATCAAAATATCCACTCGTCAATTTCCATCTTCAAAAAAAATATATTTCAATCATTTTCTTCTCTCTCCATCATTATATTCCACGTCTTAATATAACTGTTCTATTCTTTTCTCTTCACCTTTCCGTTTAGAGTTTAATAGAAACCTAGCTGACCCATATGTCTACGGAACATTTGTACAAAACCATCTATACCTAAGGGCTATCTGCATTAGCCGTCAATAATTTTGAGCTGATAGACTAGAAGGAAGGCACCCACCGCTACCTCGTGGGCTACTCTGTTTGACTGATCAGTGGGATTTCCCGATACTTTTATGAATCACTCATGGCTCGAAAGAGCGGTGCGTGATTTAGTTTGGGTGGCAACGAGACGTAAATGTGGACACGTAAATACATAGTGTGGCACGTTAGCCACTGGACCACACTCGGTCCCTCTAAGGAAAGACAGACAATTGAGTCCAGTATTATAAAGACACTCCTCTATACAAATTAGTTTAATTAAGAATAAGGACTTAATAAATAAACTAATTTATTTATTTAAAACTATGAAACTCAGTTTACATAATGAAAGTCTTTGTACCGTACACTAGTCTTTGTTAAATTTCAATGTTTTAACTTTCAATCTTTTTTTTTAAGTTTACCACATGAATCGTACACAAATTATGAGTATGATAAACTGAGAAGTGTTATCTCAAGCTATATCAACTGTAAGAGATAAGCTGTTCGTAGTAAAGAAAGTAAATAGCTTGATATGTGTTTATACAAAACTACTTCGAATTTCTCCAACTGACGTCTTGTAAAGCTACATTTGAAGTAGTCAACTCAGCCACTGTAGTTCATATTATATTAGCATTTGTACTCCAGAGAATACCACAGTGCTGGCTGATGATGGAATTTTATTTTACATAAACTTAGTTAATGTATTTCATATTATAAATATTAATACATGGTAGTATTTGTACTTCGGTGGATGCTAGAAGCTTAGGTTGGTAATTGTTTTTACATAAATGTAGTTTATATTTTACTGAAAATATATGACTATGAGTATTTGTATACTTCAGGTAATTTGTTACATCGACAGTTTTTTAGCAACGATAGTAGAGATTTATCTCAGATTCATGTGCTAGGCAAATAACAGATGTCTCAGCTTGGGTATCTTTGTTCTTCGTTAAGGTCATCTTTCTGCAAATGTAGGGCAAACAGTAAACTAAGCAACAGACTCACTTCCCCCTTCTCAGCCAGATCGGTTATTGGAGATCTCTAAGCCTATTATGGGGAGCTTCCTTTATCACGACGCTTCGTTCTTTTTAGCCAATCAAAACAGGTGTACCAGTGTCGAGGCATCACCTACAGGTGAGATTTGACGTAGACGGCATTCTACGAGAGAGAGCTGAAAGTTCGGTGTAGTGGCACAGCGGTCCTAGCTTCGTTTCCTTGGCGCTTCATGTACCCAATTCTGTGGCTACCACGATGATGGACTTCCAAGATGTGAGTGCTGCAAAAGTAAATAACTTATTTTTGTTTTTAAATACTGAAATGTTTATCTTGAAATATTTGCACCAGTGGTTCAGTGGTAGGTCTGTGGGTTACGACGCTAAAAACTGGTTTTTCATATCCATGATGGTCAGAGCACAGACAGCAAATTTTGTAGCTTTGTGCTTAAAAAAACCGAACCAATTTTATATATTTTTACAATTTCAATATGATTTTTAATATGATTACTTTTCTCTTAGAAGTTATCACCTCTATACATTATTATCATGTTTTTTTTTCTTTCTCTGTTATAAGGCATGAAAAGAACAACAATAAATGTTTATTACACTAAAGAAATATAACATCAACCAGACTGGTAAAAAATACTAAAAATCGACAAAAAACAAAACCTACAACATTCGGCAAGTGTGCCAGTATTTGTCATATGGAAAAGCATTTCCATGATTAAGACAGGCCCACCAGCTGAAAGCGCTAGGTTTTATCGCGTTTTCGTTTTTTTTTTTTCTTTTTTAATGTGGAATAGAAAGCAAATGTTATTCAGGTTTATAGTAATGAAAGGCAAACGAGAGAAAGTAGCTGAAAACTTTAAAATCGGTCAGATTTTGCAAAATTAATAAGAAAAAAAATATATAATACAACATTCCATGTATAAACAATTATTTGGAGGTCAAAGTTTGAAAAAACGGCATACATAAGTTTTCTATAATGTATATTTTTACACCTCGTTCCTGGAACGATATATGGGAATGTAGTCAGAAGATGGTTATTGGTCAAGAAACGATGCTGGATAACGTAGGACAGTAGAGCCTGAAGATGGTTATTGGTCAAGAAACGATGCTGGATAACGTAGGACTGTAGAGCCTGAAGATGACTATTGGTCAAGAAACGTTGTTGGATAACGTAGGACAGTAGAACCTGAAGATGGTTATTGATCAAGAAACGATGCTGGATAATATAGGACAGTAGAGCCTGAAGATGACTATTGGTCAAGAAACGATGCTGGATAACGTAGGACAGTAGAACCTGAAGATGGTTATTGGTCAAGAAACGATGCTGGATAACGTAGGACAGTAGAGCCTGAAGATGGTTATTGGTCAAGAAACGATGCTGGATAACGTAGGACAGTAGAGCCTGAAGATGGTTATTGGTCCAGGAACGATGCTGGATAACGTAGGGCAGTAGAGCTTGAAGATGACTATTGGTCTAGGAACGATGCTGGATAACGTAGGACAGTAGAGCCTGAAGATGACTATTGGTCAAGAAACGATGCTGGATAACGTAGGACAGTAGAACCTGAAGATGGTTATTGGTCAAGAAACGATGCTGGATAACGTAGGACAGTATAGCCTGAAGATGACTATTGGTCTAGGAACGATGCTGGATAACGTAGGACAGTAGAACCTAAAGATAGTTATTGGTCGAGGAACGATGCTGGATAACGTAGGGCAGTAGAGCCTGAAGATGGTTTTTGGTCTAGGAACGATGCTGGATAACGTAGGGCAGTAGAGCCTGAAGATGACTTTTGGTCTAGGAACGATGCTGGATAACATAGGGCAGTAGAGCCTGAAGATGACTATTGGTCGAGGAACGATGCTGGATAACGTAGGACAGTAGAGCCTGAAGGACTATTGGTCGAGAAACGATGCTGCATAACGTAGGACAGTAGAGCCTGAAAATGACTATTGGTCGAGGAACAATGCTGGATAACGTAGGACAGTAGAGCCTGAAGATGACTATTGGTCAAGAATCGATGCTGGATAACGTAGCGCAGTAGAACCTGAAGATGACTATTGGTCTAGGAACGATGCTGGATAACGTAGTACAGTAGAGCCTGAAGATGACTTTTGGTCTAGGAACGATGCTGGTATAACGTAGGGTAGTAGAGCCTGAAGATGGTATTGGTCGAGGAACGATGCTGGATAACGTAGGACAGTAGAACCTGAAGATGACTTTTGGTCGAGAAACGATGCTGGATAACGTAGTACAGTAGAGTCTGAAGATGGTTATTGGTCGAGGAACCATGTCGAATAATGTAGAACATCACAAACTGACGATCATTATTGGTCAAGTGTCGTTGTCAGCTAATGTAGGACATTAGAGCCTGAAGATTGTTATTGTTCAAACATTCTTCACCAGCAACAGAAACATAAAAATCGAAATGGTGTATTTAAGTGTTTCACACTCACAAAAAAGAAACCTATCATTCCGTAGGTATTTGAAGAACTTGTAGCATTCCGCCACAACTTAATTTTTCGTATTATTAGCCGACACTAGGCAGCTGGTACATAACTGAAAATAATTTAAAATGTTTGAATCATAAGTATTCGAGAGATATGTAAGAAATACTAACAATGGTATTTGTTAGTGATACGGTGACTAAATTCTAGTTTTTTAATGTATTTTTGGTAAAATGTCATTCTAGAAATACTTATTTTTACTAATAGATCATGAATGATTTATACCAAGAACCCTTTTTTTACTTTTTTCTTAGATGTGGCAGGACATAGAAAGTATTCTACTTAGTGACGTAACTCCTGATCCTCGTTATTCAAACACTCTAGCTTCCTTACCGGCCCCTCTACAAGTGGATGTACAACAGCGGGAGGATGATACGTCTACCCACCCCATTACGGTGCCGTCCCATTTTTACAATCAGCAGACACAGGGTGGATTTTGTGTTCCCAGTTGCATGAACAACACCAGTTTCATGAATTCGTTCGATTTCCAAAAATTAAAACCTAATTATGGCGATCAGTACTCGGTTAAAGCGCAAGAAGAATTAGAAACTGTGAACTTATATTACAATGAAAATATGGGACATTACATTCCGGTCTCACAACATAATAGTAAACCTCAGTACTATGTAGACATAAATGGATCTCATGATCAAAACATGGCTATCTCTTATTCACGACCTTGGAGTTACGGTCAGCCTGGATCAGTTTTCAGTGTTTCTTCTCAAATGTCCCCTCCATCATCCCCAGAAAACTGTGGGGGTCAGCAATATCCCCAGACAAACGTTCTCTTTGAAACAGTTTCCCATCAAGTGACCTCTGGAAGAATTCCAGTGACCTACAGCTGGCCTTCTCACATTGCTTTTAATACCATAAACTATAGCTCTCCAAATATGCAGATGGTGACTCCGCCATCTTCGCCGAACTTGGGTGAGCTTTTAGTGAACGGTACAGCATCTTATGGTTCTTCGGTTCCTGGGATCCTACCACCACCACCAATCAAACCACGACGTGGCCGAAGAAGCAGTGGTCGCAAAAAAATAACAGTTCACACGTGCTCTCATCCAGGATGTAGTAAGACTTATACTAAAAGTTCGCACTTGAAGGCTCATCTTCGGACCCACACCGGCGAGAAGCCCTACCAGTGTTCATGGAAAGGCTGTGGTTGGAGGTTTGCACGCTCCGACGAACTGACGAGACACTACCGGAAACACACCGGTGACAGGCCTTTTCAATGTCGTCTATGTGAACGTGCCTTCTCCAGGTCCGACCATCTGTCTCTTCATATGAAGAGACACACCGTAGTTTAACCCTACGGAAGAGACATTTTTCATTAAAACTCTTAGAGTCTCTAATTTGAAATGTATACAGACTATAAATATGTTTTTAAGTATGATACACCTAGTCGCCCTCATACCTCATATGATACGCCTAGTCGCCCTCATACCTCATATGATACGCCTAGTTGCCCTTATACCTTAGGTCATCAAATAAAGAAACATTCTCAACTTCCACGATCTTGATTCAGCGACGACATATTAATCATTTCAAAAAGAAAGAAACAAGTTCCAACATCTCGTCCATTAAACTTTCTATAAAGAAAGATGTTTCTGGTTTGAGCAACACCAAAAGTGGCATCATGCAGTTTGGTAAGGTTTTATGCTTCCTTCTAGAGTATGTTACAGTTGGGTCATTTTTCTTTACGTTAAGCATAAGGCTTTTAACAACAACAAAAAACAATCATCTTTTCCATTTCTCCTTGGAAGTTTAAGCAATCCCCACTGAAAAACAATGATTTACCACTTTTATATCGACTTATAGCAAACGTCACTAGAAAGAATTATACACATCATACGGAATATTTGTAAAGCAGCACTGAATATTCTTGATTAAAGAACAACGGTTCCATATTTAATCACAGATATATAAACAGTCAGACAGACAGATAGATAAAAACATGGCATGCCATCAGCATCACTCTCAGAATCACACAGTCCCTTGATTTAATTTTATATTTTCACCTCACATTTTATTAATGAGATAAAGTAAAATGCAGAACACCTTTTAACCGAAATTACTTCAGAAATTTACTAATTTTCTTATTAACAGTAAGTAGTACCGTTTCAACCACCATAAATGTATATTAAACCTTTCATCAGTTGTCCTTCTTTTTCCTCTACATATAGATAGCTAAGGAGTTAGCTACAAGATGATAAAACCATCACCATGTTAAGCAAGGTAGATACAGTATTAGAAAAACCTCACAATGGGAAGCAAGGTAGATACAGTATCAGTAGAACCTTACACTGATATGCAAGGTAGATACAGTATTAGAAGAACCTTACACTGATAAGCAAGGTAGATACAGTATCAGAAGAACCTTACACTGATAAGCAAGGTAGATACAGTATCAGTAGAACCTTACACTAATAAGCAAGGTAGATACAGTATCAGTAAAACCTTACACTGATAAGCAAGGTAGATACAGTATCAGTAGAACCTCACAATGGGATACAGGGTAGATACAGTATCAGAAGAACCTTACACTGTGTGTTCGATGGAGGTAATGAGCTAAGTAACATTTTACAGACACTGTACTTTCACATAGATTCAAATAAGGCCTGTGATATACCAGTTGAAGATCACGTTACCTTATGAGTCTGCTGGTTTTGTGTGTTCGATGGACGTAATGAGCTAAATAACATTTTACAGACACTGTACTTTCACGTACATTCAAATAAGGCCTGTACCTTTTTCGAGAGATAACATTCATTTTTAGACTCACGTGAAATGTTGAGTTTATAATACGCTTTTCTGGTGTTTTAGATCATATTTTAGTTCAGTTTACAACTACAATTAGCGCTTAGAACTTTCAAGCAGCTCAATCTTTGGTTCATATACTTTGTATGATTGGCATGTACTTCGTGACGTACCCTGTAATGTGGTACCAGTCGTTGTTGTTTGGAACGGAACATTTAAACAACCCTACATCCTGATGTAGCTATCTATGGTGTGTGATAACTGTTACGGATAGTTCGAAATAAATATTTAAGAAACGCTATATCCTAGTGTAACTATGATGTGTGGTAACAGTCGTTAACACTTCGAAATAAACATACAAGACCACATGCTGATGTAACTATGATGTGTGGTAACAGTCGTTAACACTTTGAAATAAACATACAATACCACATGCTGGTGTAACTATGATGTGTGGTAACAGTTGTTAACACTTCGAAATAAACATACAAGACCACATGCTGATGTAACTATGATGTGTGGTAACAGCCGTTAACACTTCGAAATAAACATACAAGACCACATGCTGATGTAACTATGATGTGTGATAACAGTCGTTAACGCTAAGAAATAAACATACAAGACCAGATGCTGATGTAACTATGATGTGTGATAACAGTCGTTAACACTTCGAAATAAACATACAAGACCACATGCTGATGTAACTATGATGTGTGGTAACAGTCGTTAACACTTCGAAATAAACATACAAGACCACATGCTGATGTAACTATGATGTGTGGTAACAGTCGTTAACGCTAAGAAATATACATTTAGAAACAATACGTCTTGAAGTAACCATGATGTGTGAAGATTGTTATTAATTAACAATCGGTGGGGAACACTCCAATAATTTACACCTAGACTATATTCTACGCTGTAACGCGAAAGCGATAGCTTTAAGAAGTAAAATATAGTTTACAGGATTGTTTTACTGAATCATCTGTTTGATAACGTATAATATGTTTGAAATTACACATTCTGCCTCAAAAGGTGTCAAACTGTCTTAAACAAAAATTGTTTGTAATCATTCCTATTTTTGTCTGGTGTTAAAAGTATATACTCTTTTTGATGTGAGTAGTTTATATTAGATGTTTTATCATAGTTTGATCTTTCTTTTCAGACCTTTTTTACGGAACTACATCAGAATACAGCAAGTACGAAACAACAACAACATAAAGCACAGCAGTACAATGAAGTCTAGGTAGTACAAGGATGTATATTCCAAAATGTATCATTATTAACTTTTCGTCTCAGAAAGAACACTTTATGTTTGACTTCCTAATAAATTATGAATAAGCCTGAGAGTAACATTTCGTCTTCAGATTGAAATATAGTGTGGACACCATGTATTGTAGTCCATTAAGACTCATTTCAGGCCTTGTATGCTATAGAATGTAACGACATCACGACGGCCTGCTAGTTTATACTTTTGCCGTTAGACAGACTGGCGAATAGAGGGCGCGTTGCTTCTTAATAAATTGTTTATATCGATATACATTTTATACAAGCGAAGTTGGTAGAAAGTGTCTTAATTTCCGAATTAGTGTTAAAGTTTGTATTTATGTATAAAACATGAATACTTTACTGACGAGTTTAGACTTGTTGCTATACATTATACATCCAATTAGTGTTAAAGTTTGTATTTATGTATAAAACATGAATACTTTACTGACGAGTTCAGACTTGTTGCTATACATTATACATCCAATTAGTGTTAAAGTTTGTATTTATGTATAAAACATGAATACTTTACTGACGAGTTTAGACTTGTTGCTATACATTATACATCCAATTAGTGTTAAAGTTTGTATTTATGTATAAAACATGAATACTTTACTGACGAGTTCAGACTTGTTGCTATACGTTATAGCTTCACAGTATCTAGGTTAGCAAACACTCTATTGACCTGGCAACATGACTTTAGTGCTTAACCATTATATATTACGTTGATAAATTAAGTATTTTACAAGTGATTCAAGTATTATCCTTGTCAAAGGAATAACAAAATTCAACGAGATGTGTGGGATGAAATTAAAGTGTAAAAGTTCGCTAGACATTTTGTCTACAATATATACCAATACATGTTTGTTTCTATATACTTATACACATAAAACTAAGTTCGCTAGACATTTTGTGTACAATATATACCAATACATGTTTGTTTCTATATACTTATACAAATATAACTAAGACTATCTCGCAGCCATTTCAAGTTCTGCTTCATCTGTGGTCAATGTCTTGTGTTGAATATTTTTGGAGGGTGTTTATTATACCTTGATACTTTAGTCAAATTCCACATTGAGGATGATGAGGAGCAAAAGAAGATCTTCAAAGAATCAAATATGTCTTGCGATATATAGAGAACAAAATGTAAAACTATAATATTATTTCTAAAAGTTTACTTAATTTAAGAGAAGTGTGACATTGAAATAGTATACGTGTATGTGTATTTGTTTTGTTTTTTACTAAATATGTAATTTCTCGCTCTGAAACAAAACCCTCTAAACTAAGCACACACCCAACTAATGTTAATTATTCCATATTCAGTGAAGCTTTTCCTATTCTTGCAGTGATTAATTCCAACAATAATGTCTGAAGTGAGTGCAGAACCCATATGGTTCATATCAACGGAACAAGAAGCGTGTAAATCACATAAACACCTGTGTCAAATTGCTGATATGTTTAAGAAGTCTCGAGTGTACATCAGGTTACACAAATAAACTACAACACAGATACATCACTTACTAACTTATAGTTAGTTGTACATCAGTTAACACCATTTAACTCCAACACAGGTGCATCACTTACTAACTTATAGTTAGTTGTACATCAGGTTACACAAATAAACTACAACACAGATACATCACTTACTAACTTATAGTTAGTTGTACACCAGTTAACACCATTTAACTCCAACACAGGTGCATCACTTACTAACTTATAGTTAGTTGTACATCAGGTTACACAAATAAACTACAACACAGATACCTCACTTACTAGCTTATAGTTAGTTGTACATCAGGTTACACAAATAAACTACAACACAGATACC